TACAACCTTATAGACGTCTATTCATAAGTCATGCTTCATCATGCAAGGTTTTGACCTGTCAGACCTCATCGAATTTAATAATAGGAGCTTGTTTTCAATCAGATGATAATCCATCAGTTTGCCTCTTTCCCACCTTTGTTTGAATATCATGCAGCTTTTGACGTGTAACCTGTTATAATTCAAATACTGAATTGCATAAACGGATGCACGACTGATTATCTTCTTAAGCATATTAATGATTATATTATAACCTTTTTGATTTACGTATTATCTTTTAATTATTTGTTTATGTGTTTTATATCCAACTGGCTGAAAAGCTGTATTTTAGGCTGATGTGAGATATTTACCGTGATTACAAAAAAATTCAATTAATCATACTCCTGTTTCTTTGGCTTTAGATCATACGAATTGTGGATATCAGCGAGCTCCTCTCAAACCTGAACCATCTATAGTAGGTGGACAGCTAGCTCAACATGGTGAATGGCCATGGATAGCATCCTTACTGGAACATAACAGTCCTATATGTGGAGCAACTTTAATCACACCTGATTGGCTCATCACCGCTGCACATTGTATGTAAGTCCTCTCTGACCATGATCTCCTCTCCTCTTTGACCATGATCAACAACTTCTTCGATAATGTTTATGTTAAGCGCTGTGAAACAACAGTTATAGTTTGTAAGAGCGCTATAGAAATGACTTTATTGTATTGTATTATATTGTAAGTCGATATCATCCGAGAGGTACTTACTGCTAGACTGAAGAATATTGTAATAATTCGTAACGGTTATGGGTAGAATATTATCAACATAATGATGATAATGATAATGATAATTGCATGACAGGTACACCGACGCACAGTGATAGTGGTGATGGTGAAGATTATGATAACAACATGGTAGTGATGATGGTGAGGGTGCTCTATAGGGTGTTCAGATCAGATAGTCAATCAGACGGTGGTGGGTGGTGGTGGAAATTAGGATGATAGTGATGATGGTAATGATGGTAATGAGGTTCATATGATGATGAATAAATGATGATGGCTAAGAAGATATTTATAATGACTATGGTGGATGGTGGTGATTATGATGATGGTGATAATAGCAACTGTATAGCAGGAATTACAAGAATGTTTATGACGATGATCATGATGCTAGTGGTGGTGGTGGTAGTGGTGTAGCGCGCGTAGACCAAGATTTCATCTAGCTCGACCTAGTTCATGCGTTGACGTAATCATAGTATGCGCGTCATGTAATTATGATGTCATCACACCACGCGCAGCATGGTATATGCGTTCCTACGCAACAGAAAATAGTGGGAGGATACTAACACAACCTGTTCATTCTCAAACTTAGTTTGATTTTGTCAGACGTACTTTTAGTGCTATCTGACTGTCGGCGATCATCGTCTTGGAACAGATATCTGTTTGCTTTAGCTTTCAGCATTCTTCAAAAGCGGAGGTAAATTTTATATTTCTACATTCTGTTGATTTTCGATTGTTTGCTTTTGCTTGTGTATTATTTTTTTCTTTTTCGTCATGGACGGTACTGCCAAGAATGCAATTCTATTTCGCTCAATCTTGAAGTAACATATTTAACTAATCCTTTTCCGAATTGATTAACATTTTCAATATATCATATTTATCTATTTTGTTTGTTTTTTTGTAAGCTCGTTTTATGTTTTGTTTCCTTAGATAAGCTCTGTTATACTGAAACTGAAGAAATAGCAAAATGACTGTGTTTGTTGTTCAAACAGAAATATGACTTCATTAAGAATCGATTGTGAAAACGCAGCCATGGAAGAGATGGCGAGGAACATGAAGATGGAGTCTGATAAACTCGCATCAGCTTTCCTCCGACCAAACCTCAATGGCAGAAAACCTCAGTCAGTGCTCAAATCAATCGAGTCTGGGAGAAGAGGAAATGTTGGAGAGAGAGTGAGAGAAGATGGGGATAGGATAGGAAATAAGGAAAGGAAGAAGAAATCCAAAACGAAAAGCTCACAAATGGGTAAGGAATAAACTGTTTAGTGTTTCTTTTCTCGAAATGCATCCATGTAATTGATTAAGAACTGACATAATTCACTCTTGCCAAATAAGATTGATCGTCTCCTCTAAGCGAGAAAGTTAATAACCTATTTTTTGATTGGTACTGTGTATAAACATCCAACACAAGTCATCCCAGCATGTCAAACTTTAAACATTGATTCCATCTTAGAAGTACTACAAGGATTAATAAATAATAATCTTTTGAACTTTAAAAACGAATTTGCGCCCTATGGGTTCTTAGCAAATGCCTTATATAGACTCTTAATATTTATGAAAAGAAACTATTGTATCTATTTTTTTTCCCTATCGAAATCCTAAGGCCAACCACAATGTGCAGTGGGAATTACAGCTAAACATCAGGGATTAATCGCTGAAACACCGCTAAACACTTTCTTCATGAGCCGTAAACCTTTGCTGGGAGACATTAAGGTATGCAACACAGTCATCTTACCCCCATTTATGTCATTCCGGACATCATCGTTATGTTTTATTATGCAGTAATTGAGGGGAAGAAGGTGGAATCGATTTGGAGCTATAAAACCCAGGAGTATGTTGTTTGTACGAGCTTATCATGAGATCAACGAGCTCCGCAGAGCTGGGATTCGAAATGGTTGAAACATCAGTTTTGAAATAGAAGATGACAGCACGAAATGTATGCATGATTAAATTGGACAAACAAGAGCTCATTACCTTTCCCCCTTGTTGTCTTAGCTTTTCGTTATAGTTATCAGACTGCATTACGTTATGTTTTCTTTTCATTTGCAGCGTGTAAAACCAGTCTCTCATCAGTTTACTTCTAGTGCTTCTGATGACAAGGAAGATAGCGAATTATCGATGGCTAATTCATTAGCTGATATCGAGCAAGACTATCAGAACTTCATCGCAGAAACACGAGCTCGCTTCCCTTATACCTCAACCACTGCCACCAGAGACACGAGCGTGTCACGACGAGATTCGAACTCATCACGACGAGATACGAACCAATCACGACGAGACACGAACTCCTCAAGACGAGTTGTTGATGAAAAGGGTGATGATGAGCTGACCAAGAGCCAGAGGAAACACGAGTCACTTGCCGGTAGGGTGAAGGACTTGTTGGCTAGGAGGATGGAGGAGCGAGTAGAAATTGCGACCAACAGAAACACACCAATTCATAGTTTGGGAGAACATCTCTTCTCTACCGACCACGCCCATAGCATACCTCGCACACCATTGGTGGAGTCTAGTCCCGAAATCACTCGTGATTACCAGACGTCACAGAATGGGCGTGACTGTGATGACTTTAATTCACCAATCAGTGACGTGCATGGACAGCTGATACCACGCCCACCTGGTACTCCGTACTTTGTAATCGCTCATAGGGTGTATGCGTATAGGGAGAGAAGATTTCAGTTAGCAACACTTCTCAAGAAGAGGGCTTGCTGAAAATAACAATTGGGCCGGATCAATGAATCTGCTAATTATTACGAATGTTCTTTAATGTGAACTTCTTCATGTATTGCGCATTGGATTCAAATTTGTGTATATCAGTACAATTGCATTGATGTTCATTAAAAAAAAATTAAAAAAACAACAGAACAATGTGTAGAAGTCATTTATGCGTTCTCTTGTGTTCTGCTTTTATTCCCTCTCTCTTTCTCTCTCTCTCTCTCTCTCTCTCTCTTATTATTCTCTCTTATTATTTTTCTTTTCTTTAAATACTTCTTTTGTTATCTTCTCCCTCGCTATTCCCAATCTTTTTCTTTTCCCACTCTCTCTCTCCTTACTCTCCTCTCGTATTTCCCTTTTCCTTTGTCTTTTCTTATTATCTCCCCTTTTCTCACTCTCACTTTCGGTGTCTCTCCCTCCCACATTTTCTCTCTCTCTCTCTCTCTCTCTCTCTCTCTCTGTACTCTCTTCATTTCATTCGTTTTCTCTCCTCCCTCTCTCTTTACTCTTCTCTGTCTTGTTTCTTCTTTCTTCTCTCACCCCCCCCCCCTCTCTCTCTCTCTGCCCCTATACCCTCTCTCATTTTAGCTTCCCTGCTTTCTCTGCTCTCCTAACCTCATTCTAATTCACCATTTTTGGGCAACCCTGTATGATTTTAATATGTTATGAAGAACGTCTGATTACAACATGAACCTAGAATGCCCTCTAATGTCCCGCCTTCGTTATTACAAAATAAATTAACATTAGATAGTGCATGACAGGGTGTTCATGGTCTGGTTACTCAACTGTAATAAATAAAGGAGCTTTTATGTGATTGTGAGTAAAAAGACACACTCACTGCCCATTAGGTGTCCCGCAGGAATATTTATGTTAAAGAAGGATGAAGAATATGTTTGCAATATTGCTCCGAAAATTGTTTCCCTATATTGTATAGCTTACTCGACATTCCCCCACTGATGTGTTAAAAGCATATTACCGTGTTTTTATCAACAATATGGTTACCAAATGAATATCTTTTTATATTTAAGAAATTAAATGAGATTAATATTAAAGCCCCCTTGGTGAAATACAAGTTACGCATATCGTCAACAAAAGAGATGAACAAAATTGTTTTAACCTTAGATGTAGTACATATTGTATCATGGTTGGCAATCAGGCATTAGAATGTAATGATAAAATGTCAATTCCTAGTTCCATAAGAATCGTCTCCTTGTGGTTTATGTCGATACATGTTGTGGTAGTGTATATAAGAATAGATAAATAAATTAATTAATAAATTAAAACAAGTTGTGGTAGTGTATACAAGAATAAATAAATAAGTAAATTCATAAATTAAAACGGTGCTTATAAAGCGCTTACCACTGAAGTCTCTAAGCGCTAGCAAAGAAAAGTAATCGAAGGGCTGTGTGAGTTTTCAAAGCAACATTACACTCGATGATTGTGAAATATGTTGTGCACGAATGTTAACGGTACTCCCATAAAGGCACTAATAGGTTCTAGTTTCTTTTCTTCTGCTGCAGTGAGATTATGAATGACGGATCTGTATACTCTGCCTTGATGGGCACAGCTGACATCATCGATGTCGATCCCAACACTGTTCAACACGAGGAGGCTGATGAGATCTACCTCCATCCGAACTACCATCGAGAACATACTGATTGGGACATCGCACTCATTCATCTCCGTAGACCCATGAATCTTACGAACTACGTCACGACCGCGTGTTTGCCCACCAGGGATATGAGAGATGCTTTCTATCCTGGGATAGCCGTTACGATGTCAGGATGGGGTACTCTCTTCCAAGGAGGTGAGTACTCTAATCTGAATATAGCTCATGGGCAAGTTAACAAAGAACATTCACAGTTATTGCCCCATCAATGAACATTCCAATTTTCCTGTATGCATAATAATAAACACCGATATTGTTGCGAACCAATGGCGGGTCCAGGATTCCCTCACGGTTGGGGGGGGGGGGGGGTAAGTCTGAAATTTCTGTGATAAGCTGAGAACAGTTATGACGTACCCCTGCTTCTTCTTCTTTTTTTTCTTGGATCTTTTCCCATTTTGTTCATCTTTTCTCTGTCTCTTTTCGGTATTCCTCCTTTCATTTCTTTCCTTTCTTCTTCTTCATATTTCTTCTTCCCCTTCCCCTCTTTTTCGGGGGGGGGGGGGGCACCAGGGCCCCTGTGCCCCCTTGTCGACCCCTCCCCCCGGTGAAGAATGTTTATTTATTTAACCTGTTTACACAGACTTTATGTTTGCTTGGAATGGCAAAATGATTAGCTAACGAAACAGCTTAGTTCAAGCACATTTTTATGATTTTTGATCCTATTTTTCTTTGATTTTAATACAGGTCGACAAACTCAGTTACTACGTGAAGTGACCGTACCTCTGGTAAACCACACACTATGTCAAGAAGAATACTATCCATTCAATATCAGTGATAATATGATCTGTACAGGACCTAAGGAAGGTGGCAAAGATTCATGTCAGGTACATTAAAGAATTACGTAAGAGTCTTTCAAGCTTCAAGCTCAAGTGTTCAAATTCATTTATGTCCAGAATATTGGGCGAGGGAATATAATTCATTCACAAGTTGATGAAAAGAGTGATAAATTTTATCAATATTATAATTTTGCTTAAAAAAAGAGGTGGTAATTTTTACATTTGACGGGACATACCTTTCTACCATCGGCACCCAAAGTTAAAAATAAGAAAGCTCCCGGGGCCCTGAAGATAAAACGGAGAGGACAGCTGAACTTGAATGTTTACAGACAGGCCACTTTGGTACAATGTGTGCATGTATTAGGCTCTTTGATCTCTTACTCTTTCTCTTCCAAATTAATCAAACAATAGCTGAGCAAACTTTCTATTGGTCACATTTCGGTTTAGAATTTTACGATTCAGTTGACAAAGTAATTCTTTTAGGAGAAAAATTTCTAACTCATTGAACCTGGGAATTATTATTTTGACATTTCTATTTCTGTTTTAAGAACAAACAACGTATGTTGGAAGTCAAAAGGACGTTAACTTTGTGTTATAGCTTGGGTGTGGCTCAACGCCCTTTTTGTTCCAAAGAGATGACAACTACCTTACCACAAAATAAAGTACAGCGTATGAAATAGTTGATCGGGTTTAAATATTGCACAATCTACGGAAATAAACTCTTGTCAAGTATTTACACAGTGGAGTTTACATATTGGCTTCTATGAATCAACAGTGATAAACAGCATTATATTTTCAACAGCTAAAGCCGGGGTAATAATCTCCCAGTTTGAAAGCGCTTATTGATTGTAATAAGCGCTATATAAAAACTGATTATTGATATTATTATTATTGTATAATTGCTTTCATCATTAACCCCAAGGGAGACAGCGGAGGGCCTACTGTATCCAGACTAGGTGACCAATGGTGGCTAATAGGGGTAATAATCGGTGGTGTGGGGTGCGCAGTACCAGGATTCAGGGGGGTGTCCTCAGAAATCATCGCCTACCAGGACTGGATTAATCCTATCTTTGAGGGAGGGGTCCCACAGAGAAGTAAGAATAGCACGCTTGTTTTGAATGATAATTATGATAATAATAGTAATGATAACATTAATAAAAATGATGATGAGGATGATGATGATAACAATAATATCAATGTTAATAATAATAATGATATTAATGTCAATGATAATGATAATGATGATAATAATAAATAATACTAGTAATAATAACGATATTAATAATACTAACAACAACAACAATAGAACACTTCTAACATAGTGCATTATGCCTTTGCAATAGGTATCTGCGCGTTTAGCTAACGTGTTTTCATCTTGCCATTCTTCTCGAAATAAGAAACGTATATAGTAGCTATTCCTGAATTTAAGGACTCGAAAAGCAGAATTGTCATTGTTAATTTGCAAAACAAGGATGCAAATTTTGCTAAAATATTGTTGGTTTTGTTTATAGACTTTAAAATTGAAAGAGATACTGGATGTTCAATTATCATAAAACGGTCATCATTGCCTATGTCTTATTGACAAGTGTGTATCATCTTACCGTCAGCTGATTCGATACAGTCAGCCGTGATGCCATTGGAAGAGTGCATTCTTGATGGTTCATTTCGTGGTAAAAGTGCGGAAGTAACGCAATTAATGTCCCGTACGCAGAGTAAAACGCATTTAAACGGAATATATACGAATCACATCCGCTTAAGATTAGAGTATATCTAGGAAGCATGTCTTAATCCGAATCGCATCTAAGGGCAACGAAGAGTAGTATCTAACATGGTGACTAAAAACGCTTTCTCACTATTCATACAATTCTACAAAAGTAACCGAACACTATTTTTAAGAATTGTATCGGAGATATCTGCTAGCTCTGGCAATTACGGGTTGAACACATATAATTCAAGACTGCTTTTGTCACCCATGTATTATGGTTTCGTAGTAAATACTCAAACTTTCACTCATGAGTGAAAGGTTATGTAACAAATGAAATTTTCATGTAAGATGCGATTAGACTATAGATGTATGTTTTGAAATATTATATTTTGATTCGATTCTCTCTTAAATCATTTTCCTAATGTAATACATTAATAGCATGAATATTTTACAGTAAAAATAATGTGATTAGCTCGAGGGGATAACCCACTTGGTAAAAGCTCTTTCTTCAATTAGGTCCTGATGGAGTTGTTGATATTCTATCAATATCATAGTTAATTATAACACAATATCAAATAAAACTCTCGAAAATAGATATGAAACAAGGATTGTAAGGAACATACTTTAAACAAAAAAGCAAAACTATGATAAATATCAGGTTCCAAAGTTCATGCAATGGATATCAATTTTTAAGGTAAAAGACGCTCTACTAACTGCAATCAGAAACATGCACCCACTGCGAAATCATTAAGTATGCACATTTATAATACATGTTCCATTCACTTTTCACCTGATTCGCCAAGAGATGATGACGTGCGAGTCACATGACTTCACTTGCCAGGGAGGTTGGTGTATTCCATACTATGGCAAGTGTGACGGGTTTCCTGACTGCAGACTGGAAACGGACGAAACTTTCTGTGGTATGTACAACACTCGCTTGTTAACCAGGCATACTAAGAATAATAAATGAATATAAAAAACAGTGTGGTCTTACATACGCAGGGTAGCCACCTCAGTACCCAAACTGCTCTTCCTGCGGACCTTGCAATTATTATTAACCCGGCAATAGCCATGTTTTCATTTACACCTGGGTGAAGAGTGGCACATGTGTCTTGGTGTCTTGTGAAAGGACGTTAGTGCCGAGCTTTGATTTCTACCCTCAACCCTTGGATTGAGATTTCAGCGAAGGAACGACTATTAACACGACAACTATAATTAAATGTCTATTTATACCAGATTCCAAAAAGCCATAGTATAAAGGCGATGATAGGGGCTCTTGAAGCCCGTAAGTGGGCATTGTGGGGGAGTTGGGGGGGGGGGGGGAGGGGTCATCGGGCTTGGTTGACATGCTAGGAACAAGGGCGGATGTTAGAGGGGGTGATGCTAGAGATGATCTTCTTTTCACATTGCCTCGATCATCCTTTTTTTTGTTTACGCCTCTTTCTCTGTTTTAGTTTTTCACCATTCGATTGGGATCACGTGCCCCTATGCATTAGTTGCTACACAACTGCCATTCGAATTAGATGCAGCAAGACAATATTTATCATAGAGTTATGTCAATCCTTGAAAACTACATTAATTGTACTCAAAATGCAAATGTGAATCAAGGACAAAAAACTAAAATGGTATTCATCATTATGGATGTACTGGTAATAACATATTCATATTTTATTGATACAGATGGCGTCTTAAAGCTTTTCGATCCCTTCTTCTACCGCCGTGTGGCCAGAAGGGAATCAGCCGTGATCATCACAAACGTTCCTGACATGCACGTCTGTGCTAGAATGTGCCTGGATGCGGACTTCCCGTGTGGTGTCTTTGAATACTACATAGCAGGAATGATCATAGATGTGAAGAATCAAACCAAACCCGTTTATGATTGTCTGATGGATGGACCCGGCATGGTGATGGTTCATCTGTCAACACCCGAGTCAAAAAGAATAAACTTTCACCAGTTTGTCAGAAAGATGGATATTTCAGGTATGTTCTCTACCATTGTCATTATAGTCTTCTTCAATAAATTTAAAGCAGTTTTAGGCCTATTATTTGAAGATCCTTGGCATTTCAGTTCATACAGGCTTTTAAGGTAATGTCGATTGTCGAAATAAAGGTTCCGGAAAATCTGTGCCCATGCACCTATGATAGCTACCATAATTATTACAAAATAGGATGAAAGTGGCTTTACCGTTAGTGAAATCTACATTATATTATGTCTATAGTCACCTTATCTTAAAAATACAGATCTATTTTAATGGTGTCTCTCATAATGTTCACTAACATAACACCGACTTTATTCATTGTCACCATTATTAATCATGCCTACACTTTCTTCTTGATGTTTTTGTTTTTACTACATTCTCTGCAACACTCTTTATGTCGCTCTGTTTATACTTAGATTTGTTTAGCATGCGCGTCCTTTTCCTATTCCCTTTCTTGTTCACCTCTCTTTCCCGCAAAACACAAACCAAGACATATTATGTAATGACTATTTCACTCATTGTCTCCCTTCACTACAGCTGGAGACAATGCCGTGTTCATATCAGGTACAGATGTCATCTTGTCTCCTTCTTACCTCCCTGCAAACTCCTTCAACCCTTCTCCTTCCTTCTCCTCCTCCTCCAACTCTTCCTCCTCTCCACTCTCCTGGACAATTCGTCTCTCTGAAGTCAACTACAACACCATCGTCTTCAAGATGCTCGCTGTCAAAGGTCAAATTGATTGTGGTAACTGGTCCTCTTTCTCTCTGCTCTCAATCAATGGTGGAGGTAATTTCACAGCAAGTAGTGGTAAGGTGGGGACAGCTAGATGTCTCAACGAATTCGTCGTAGGGGAGACGTTCAACGTCGATTCGGCAGAAGTTTTCATCACTTACTTCGCCACGGATTTGATAGAGACGGGATTTATGTTGGAGTATAACGCAAGTAAATATACTTCAATCAATTGTTTTAAGTACTAACAACGATTACCACTGTTATGTGGATTTGCCTTTTGAAGTTTAAGATGGAGATAACATCTTAAAGCTCTTTCATTCTTTGTCATAGAATCATCTATATTGCTTTGATTTAGATCAACTCGAATTTGGGGAAGAAAAATGTAAATGTAGAATGAAAAGGAATAGGAAAACGGAAGTAGATGGAGATGAAGATCGGACAATTAAATGGAAAAAGAAAAGAGTAGCCTAAATAAGTAGTATAAAGTGAAGAAGAATAGTAATTAAATTAAAGAAGGACCATATTAGAAGACATTTAAAGCAGGTTACAAGAATATGTTAGATGTAAATGTATGTGATCAGGATAATAATATATTTGATCTAAAATATTCAACTATTGTTCTCCTTGGTCTAGGATGGTTGTGTAACCAGAGTTTTATCGCTTCTCCTGGGTCTATCAGCTCACCACGATTCTACTCTCTCAGGCAGACATATCCACCCAATATCCGCTGTCATTACTCCATCACGGCACCACCAAACCTCGTCGTCGCACTTCATATGGACTCCTATCAAATCGAACCAGACATGGAAGAGGGAGCATGTGACTTTGATAGTCTCAGTATCTTTGATGGTAACAGCACCGATGCACTGAGACTGGAGTATCTCTGTGGGTATAGTCAAGCTCCTGTATCAGTGCTATCAAACTCCAGCTCGCTCTATTTGGTATTCAGCACAGATGAGTCAGGGCAGTACGCAGGATTTGCAGCCTCATTCTCGTTCATGGATCAGATTAAGGGAAAAGACGAAGAAGAGGGAGAGCTGAGAAGTCATGACGAGATGTCAGGTGAGATATTTCTTCAGTGAGAAACAGATTAATTTGAGCGGTTTCATGAAACTTCAACGTTTGTTTCCATAGTACACTGTCTATAAATATAAGACCACCTTGCATTCCTTATTCTTTTCTTTTACAATAATTAACAATCAAACACAACACTCGATCATTTTAAGAGAGGAAATGAATGTGATTTATTTGTCAGTCGCGAGAATGTGTTTTCACCTAAAAAATATGGTGCTCCATTTGGGTACACTCTAAAAATAGAGTGCAAAATTTTGCTGTGCAAAATCGCTGTTTAAAAAAGTTGGGCAAAGTATTACCCAACCTTGTGCCAAACACCAAGTCCCTTCGAAATGTCATTACACTTGCCATAGTGTCATATCAACATTCGACTGTGCGTATTTCTGGGGTAAGAAAGTAAAGATGCAGATTAATATTTGAACCATGCGTTGGGTAAACACAAGTTTTGACACCTAAACGTTTGATATTATGACACAACTGATGTTAAAAACTATGATTGAAGCGCTAGCGTGGTCGGTCGTTCCGAATCAGCTGTTCGTCGAATTAATAGTGTTCAAGATCGACAGAAGATGGACGAATTTGTTCGAAATAGACTACGATCATGCACTTGTGTCTTTCCGCAGCATTTATTTGCATGAATGCGTGTAAATCTTCTCAATATGGACATGAAATTTCTCATAATTCTGGACAATACATTATTCGTATGGAGAATGTCATTTGTGATGCAGTCACCTTCTGCGAACACGCCAAGCGAAAGACTGTCTATAGCCAAGAGAGAGAGAGAGAGAGAGGTCTGCTACTTATACACTACACTACATGTACATATAACATGTACCTTTCCAGCCAACTCCTCGGACAAATTTTAGTTTTTACCCAAGTCTGTGTAAAAATAAAAAATCATACAATAAGGTTGGGTTAAAATTTTACCCAACTTTTGGGTAAAAAGATACACAAGAACAAGGTAAACGAGTACCCAGGATGAGTTGGGTAAGAATTACCCAATGTTGTGTCAAAAAGGGAACATGGTTGTCGTTGGGTAACATTTTACCTTTTACAATGGGTCGTAAGTAAGCAAGCAGTTGGGTAAGATATTAAACTTTTGCTGGGTAAATTTTTACCCAACCACCCCTGTGTCAAATTTTACCCAACAAACATGCATGTTCCCTTTTTACCCTCGTAAAGTGTAACATTTTACCCAATATTGGGTATCTTTTCTTTAGAGTGTACCTTCCAGTTTTCTCTCATTAAGATCAATATCTATACCAGGGCCCTATTAGCAGGCACGTAGCCAGAGTTTGATGTTGGGGGGGGGGGGGCACATACATGTAATCGATCGACGTCCTGGGGAGGGGTCTAAAAAAGTTCAACCGATCTTGGATTTTTTTTTTCGGGGGGGGGGGGACACATGAGAAAATTATGAAAAAATTATAACATTGTAAAATGAATGCAAATGTAAATGGGGTGAGATCATGAAGAGGTCCCACTTTGTATTTGAACAACATAATGAAAGCATAAAGCTCAACAGTAATATTGTAAGCAAATGAATACTGTAAATAATAACAACCACAATCAACAAATTGACAAAGTGTATGTAGTGAAATGATTTTTTTTTTTAAATCCCTTAATTCTGTAAAATCTTTGTGAAATCAAACTCTCTACGTACTAAGAAGTGTAATGATAACATTTGTATTTTGTAGTCAAATGACTGTGAACATTAATCTCTGTTATTAATAATAATGATAATAATATATTACATTTATAGAGCGTTTAATACAAACTTTCTAAGCGCGTAAAAAAAAGAAAATACAAAGTAATGTTAACCTACAAATTACAACAATATAATGCATGATACATAATTATCCAAATCGAGACACTTAATACGTAAACAAATTAATTCTATCTGAAGTATTTGCTTAAGGAATACATGTCTATTCACATTCTCTTTTATGTTTTTATATCTTCCCACAGATTTTGACAGATTAAAGGGATTTATGTATGAATCGTCTCAAACTTCAAAGCTCACAACGACATCTCAATCGACCTATCCCAAAGGCATGACAACCTCTTCTAAAGTACTGGCAACATTCTCCGAAAAAATGACAACACTCTTACCAAGTCCTATTCATCTCCAGTCTACCGACATGGACCTTCAATATATTCTTAAAATAACACTGGTTGTTTTTCTACTGGTGTTTGTGATGCTCGCTATTGCTTTTGCGGTATTGTACTGTCGAATTAAGAATGACAATGTACAATTGAAGAAGAATTTACAGATTCATCGAAACGGGAATATTGTAAGCCTTTGAAGTTTGCATTTAGACAGAAACCTTCATCGGAAAATGATGGATCTACTTGATACGTTTCATGTTCGATCTAAATGGTATGCCTGAAAGGCTGTGAACTGGAGAGCAGCATCAGAGATGGATTAGGAGGGGACGATGAATTCATCAGATCAACAAAATTATAGCTTTGTTGAAAACCTGACTACTAACTATGAGTTGGTTTACAAAGGATTAACTAAAGGAACAATTGATGTAAATATTCAAAGGGTGTTTACGAGAGCAGGGAGCAGATCAACCACGAGCTGAACGATGATTCCCTCAATAAGTGAGGTGATTACAAATAATGTGCAGAACGACGAGGGTGATGATAGCAATGAGACGAGAATGTTTGAGAAAACATTAATGAGTTAGCAAAGAAAAGTGTATATCACAATTTAATCATTACCGATTATGTCGCTTGAACTGAAAACAAGTAAAATGAAAAAACCTGCTTGAAACCTTAAATCTTAAATCATCACTGTACATTATTTTTCTTTTTGAATAAAAAAAAGTAGGCCTTGGCCTTCAAGTCCGGTAAAATCTGAGACAGTTACGTGACTGTTCTGACAATATTCTCAGTTTAGCTTTATCTGCAACTGGAACACTGTGGAAGTGCTATTCTTTCCCACAATTTTGATATCATATCTTTATGATCGTTTTATATGCGGATACAGGAGATATGAGACCCCATACTGCCCCTACTTCCATTAGCGACTTTTACAAAGTCTAGATTCGCCCTATATTAGGAAACTAAATCAGGGAAATTCTAGAATGTTAAATTTCCATGTCTTATGACATTTTAATTGTGAGATATCAGTCAAACTAATTTAAGCAGTTTTCGAAATTTTCTTTAAAAACAATTGGCATCTTATATTGAAGAAACAACTTTTGTGGCCAATTTAGAAAAGCAATTTTAGTCAAATTTTCTCGACATTTTTCAATTTGAAATTTTCTTTCACCAGTATTACGCCCCCCTAAGATCTCGGCTGTTTCATAATCGCTGCGAAAATTTGCATACAAGTGAAGTGTAAAGACTACTATGGTAAATTCAATTCTTTGAAAAATCCACTTATTTGCATATTTATGGTAATTTTTGCAAATAAGGTCATACAATTCACATTTTTACCCATACATCATATATTCTTCATATTTGAGCATTTTTTTCACTAATATATTTGTTAGACCATTTGGAATAACAATAAGTTATTCTTTATGTTATCTCTTGTTTTGATACATTTTTATGTATTTTATTGTTCTTGTTGTTTGTTTCATTTCTAATTACAATTCAACTATTATGACCCCCAAAACAAACACCTAAACTTTAAACAAGACCAAATAACTAATGTTTTATCTCTTTTCAGGAAAAATGATATTTCCATATCTTTTGTACACAAATCACGAAAATGAGCGATTTTCGGACTGACATGCAAAAACAAAAGGTCACGTGACTTTGTAACTGTTCGTCCGATTTTCAAAAAATTGTTTTAAAAGATGCTCAAGACTTGAAAGAAAAAGGTCAGCAAGGGACGGGGCGTCATCCGTATACGTTCCCCAGCAATTAGACAAATTGCGGAGGGGGGGGGGGGGGCATTGCCTCATTAGGGCTAAGGGGATAGAAAATATGCGGAGATGGCCATCATTTGAACAACAGTAAATTACTAACTTGATATTTAGATTTTACACGTTAGAATCGTTTGGGGTTGTTAGTTTACTTTGAAGATAATGCACCTATACAAGTGTGTACATTGAATGTTGAACAGGTCATTCCTGAACATGTCTACTGAGAACATGTATATTAACATGTATATAAGTATATATTTATTTTACATGCTCGAATGTATCAAGAAAAAAAACAATATATCAAAATGGAAAATGTTATATCTGGAAACAGTATTATAAACATTGCAGTAGATTGTATACATTACTGACTTAGTTTAAAAGTGTGAAACTGAACAGGTCATGTTTGTACATGTCAACTGAGTATATACATGTAAATGTGTTTTTTCTTTTATTCTTCACATGCTCGAATGTATGCATAAAACTAGAAAAGGTCACGTCTTAACATGTCAACTGAGTATATACGTGGAAAAAATAATCTTTTATCCTTTACATGCTCGAAAGTATGCAGAAAACTAACAATATAACAACATTGAGGATATTATATATATCTGGAAACAATGTTATAAGCAATGCATTAGTTTTGATACACTACTGACTTAGTTTACTTAGACGAATATGAACCTATAAAAGTATGTATTATGTTGAACAGGTCATGTCTGAACATGTCAACTGAGTATATACATGTAAAAAAAAATTTTTTCACGGGCTCGAATGTAAGCAGAAAACTAACAATATAACAAAATGGAGGATATCATATCATGAAACAATATTTTTGATATTTCAGTAGTTTGTGTACATTACTGACAATCAAACAACTTTGACTGTTTGAACATTATTGAAGGTAAGACTTTATGTGACATGTGAAAATGAGGGGCTTATTGAAAAGCGTTGCTCGTAATGGTACGCCCCTCTTAAAACTTAGTACGTGTTTTTTGGTTAAAAGTGTTAAACGTGAGAAATGACGAGAACAAGGTACAAGGGTAAATGAAAATATATATTTGAAAGATTGATGTGTCCCACAGTAAAAGAGAAAAACAGGCGTACGTTCGAAAAAAATTAAAGAAGAATTTGAGAGTCACGTTCATCAAGGGGAGTCAACATTGAATGTTTGAATTGTAGTTCGATCTGATTAACATGTTTAATCTGATTTGATATTAATGGTAGATTGGTGTGCTAGCGAAACGGTAATCTGTTTTAGCCTGGGTAGAAACAGTTGTATTCCCATCTTGGGCGTAATGAAATTATGAAGAAAAAAAATATACAATCGCTTACTTTGTTCAAATATAAACAAAGTTAGTTTTATGGATTACAATATAACTCTGATGGAATATATTTACACGCGTATAAATACGTGTGACCGATGAATGTGTATGAACTATCGAAGGCACTATTATTACATTTCAAAAGTTAATATAAACTTTCTTCATTATCGAATCTGATACTCGTTTCATATATTCTGAAAATGACAGAAAAAAGTACATGTTGTTTAAAAGACATAAGACAAATGAATGTTTACTACAAACTTATTTATGGTCTGTGTATTAAAACAAAAAATCCTGCTACGGGGATATTTTACGGTGTTTATTTATTTGAATATCCATGCATTCTCTTTTTTTCCTTTAATATCTTGCCTCATAACCCTCTCTCGCACAATGTGTATGTGCCTGATAGTGTAAATATCTCCGTCATCGAATATATCTCGATAGTACTCTGATGAAACCAGATGGAGGTGGAGGTGTCAAGGTGTAGTGGTTCATTAATTTGACTCTTGGTTCAAGAGTTAATGGTTCGAGTCCCAGTCAGGCACTAACATCTTTTGGCAAGGCATTAATCCCTATTGCCACTCTCTACCCAGGTGTAAATGGGTACCTGATAATAGCTGGGTAATAATAATCACAGGGTCCACAGGATGAACAGCATTGATTCTGTTCAGGCTTCCCTGGGTAAACAAAAATATTAGAACATTTACTACTATTATCATCATTATAATATTGATGTTATGATATAAACCAGTATGTATGAAACGGAAGTATTTATTCTTCATACTTTTAAAACTTTTCCTATTGGGGCGAAATAAAGTCGATGAAAAACAATCGCGCATATTGTTTTTTATGTTCGCACTTGTTATTATCTGACATTAATATAAACAAATATACCATATCTTCAGACATGTCAAAGACGCTAGTGATAGCCTGAGAGCCTGTGCGATATGCGTGTGTGTGGTCAGCCTACCAAGTCCATTAGATTTGACCCCTTAACATTATTTAAACAATCATAGTCATTGACCAGGATATTGTTAATGTAGCTTGCACAGCTAGGGCCCCGGAAACAGATCCCATCGTCAGGTCGATGCCATCCCAAGCACCAAATTTTCTCAAAACCAGGGACTCTGACTGTACATTATAAACAGGAGAGACAAATTAGGCTGATGAAGATTTGTACCGAAGGAGGACGTCAGACGCCCTGCAATATTCGAATCCTTGTTTAAAAAGCCAATAGACCCACGTCCGCGAGCATTTTGTTCATAGGCTAAAGGTGATGAAACTTTTATCTTTTAGTGTCAAAACTTCGAATTTTAGAGTACGAGATAGCAAAATGTTTGCATCATTTTACATCTTACAGCAGAGTTATAATTACATGCAGGCATTTTTTCTGTTGGGAGGGGCCATTGGGGCATCATATTGCCCTACTTGAAATAAGAGCAGCATCTACCCTCTGCCCGAACTATGCAGTGAGTATGCTAGCGGCACTAGTAATCTGTTCGACTGTATGCACGTTCCTCTTAAAATCCAAGTTCATTAAGATTAAGTGCCTATGTCTTTAAAAGAAGAAGAAAAATGACTAGAAAAAAAAGAGAGTAGAAGAATATTGAATGATTTCAAAATCTATTTGATCTCTCTTTTTTGTCTGGTGTTGCCTCTCATCATCCACCGTCCTCTAGAGTGCTTTAACGAAAATGAAGAGATGAATTACGATGAGGAGCATCTTGTTGATGTATCAAATGTTTACAGATGAGTCACCTTTGCATGTCATTAGTTCACTTTGGAGCGACTTTTCCACCTGGAGTGCTGAGTTGGCGGCTGTCTTGCAATATTATGTAACTCAAACATTATACCCATGCAGCACCCTCTTCAGCAGGGCGTTGTATCAGACACTATGCTGTAAGTGGGAGTCGGTTGATCCTTCCAGTATCTCGTATTCCTCATCCTGATTCCGTTCCGGAGCATTTGAAAACTTACGTCTACAGAAAGACCTCCAACGCGAAGCTTCTGGTTGTGGAAATTTACCTGTAAATGAAATTCGATATGATAAGACACAGTATTACTAAATATAAATGAAAATAATAATGAAACGCACAAAGAGAGAGACACACACAAACACAAACACACACTCACACATACACACACACTGCAACCACCTAATTTATTTTCCACATTTTCGGTGGTTTCCCCCTTCCTCAGGGATGACTGTGCTCGTTGGTGATCAGAATATTAACAAGAATAAGTGTGTGTGTGTGTGTGTGTGTGTGCTTGTGTATATGTATCAAGATTAATAATAATATATCGTGATCTAAACAGTAGTATTTATTTATACACAGCTAAGAAAATACGTCATTGTATCTGTAGATGACGCATGAATTAGATCGCTGATATCACAACTACACTGTACTCCATAACATCCGGAACAATTAGGCCTACCGAAAATAGAAGATATGATATGAAGTTCTTTAAAATCCAAAAGTGGAATGAATGCACGTCAGTGACGTCACACATGTTTGTTCTGTATTATCATTCCCAGAAGCAATCCGTGTGCCTTCGGGCATGATATGCTTACGAAAATAATGATAATAAACAGTTAATGTTACCATAATACCATTGGTATTAACGATATTGATAATAAGTGACTTCATCGTCGGGTCGGGTATTACATCATCGACTATCCTATATCTCTATACAGTGTGAGACCCAAAAAAAGTTTACAACTAGAAAATTACTAATTATTTTTAAAATCATCTATGAACAGTAAATTATTATACATCTTATGAAAAAGTGTTTTACCCCGAATCATTTGGTATCACTTTTGTGGGATATGTGTTTGCGTGAGTGCAAAATTGTTTGAATAAAACAATTGGGATTTGGGAATTAAATTTGGTATTTGCAGATCCAAATAACATCCCTAACAAAATTGATCATGCCACCCATTAATATCGAATATCAAATATCAACCAACGTTTTGTGCGCGCGTGCGTGTGTGTTTGTGACTTTGCTTCTGCAAAAAGCATATGCAATGCATTTCATTTGATACAGTCAATTCATTCTCTCACTCCGCTAATCCGAACATAATACATACTGTAGGCATCACTTTGGCGCAAGTCGATTTTTGCACTCTCGCAAACAATGCCGCCTGTTCATCCAAGCGTGAACACATATCACACAAAAGTGATACCAAATGATTTGGGATAACACACTCATTCTTAAGATGTATAATAATTTATAAAATAATTAGCCATTTTCTAGTTGTAAACTTTTTTTTTGACTCACACGGTATATTATATCAATAAAGCCTCGTCAGCATTGGGTAATACGTCTTTATATGTTTAAGATACTGACCTGTGTTAGCATATTGTATGAGGTCTGCTTCAAGTTGTATGAATTCATCTTGAGCTCTGTTCTTCGCTTTTTCACCTGCTGCCAGGGGATTCCCTCCCAATACACCTGCTGCTCCTGATAAAAGTGAGACTATTGTGATCGCATACGCCGTGATTAATGAAGGACGGAAATTTTGGTCAATGACGCAAACAATCACGGCAACACCACCAATAAACACAAGTCCGATTATGATATGTTTGATTGCGTTGAAAAGATGACCAGAAAGAGGGAGTCTGCTTTTTACGATATCTTTCAGAAGACTTGACTTAATCCTGAATTGCCTCTGCCTCTGCGAAGCTCCATTTTCAAGATTTTGGAATTGCTCTAAGATTTTGATCGGGAAGGTATTCTCATCGTCGGCTTTTCTACCAATGGAATAGATATTGTTATAGAGGGTCTGGTATTTGTCAAAGAATTGTGTAATGATCGCGATCAAAAAAAGCACAGCAATGATGACGTTGATCCAAATAGGGCCCACGTAAGTAACATTTATGATGATTCCAATCACAGTGAAGAAAACAATTTCTACAAGCAGGATAATTGTTGCAGATAACCGCATGAAACAAAAGATGAACACCACGGCATAACACACGATCCTTGTCTTCTTAGTTGCCCAGTTGTATGGTTTCTCCAATACATGGCCATCATTATTAGACCAGGATATGTACATATATAAAACTAATAGTCCAAAAAGGTATAAGATATTTGCTACAATAAAATCGAAAACCCAAGTATCCCTCTGGAATTCTTCTCCACGCTGGTTGCTACGATTCTTGTATTCGTCATTTATTAAGACGTGCCAGAAGAAAAACACAAGATATGGAAGAAAGAAAAGGATCGCGTAAACCAAGAGCGAGTATGGACCAAACAACGAAGGGGTCGAGTTTATCTGTAAGATGTTTACACTCTCCTCTTCATCTTGTTGGTGGTTAAAGGCTCCTGCATAGATACACCGCACTTTGTAGGCAACAGCTAAGAAGATAATCGGATACGTGACACAAAGTGCTCGTATTACAATGATACAATGAATGTCATTCTTCGGTACGTTTATTTCCGATATGTTCCAACATTTGTAGTAGGTGCTTGCTTGCAACTGAAATAGACTGTATCCAGGAATGAGTTTTGTGTTGAATGGGCGAGATTCATTGAGTTCTTTGCATATGACGTCATACTCAATATCATCTGGATAAGGTGTTTGTACTCTCGATCTCACTTGTCTTGATATATACAATAAAATATTCACCAAGCAGATGTCTGAATAGGTCCCGTTGTCCAAAATACTACTGTTCAGAGTAATTGAGACCGTATGGACCCCGTAATTTAATGAAGTAAATGACAAGGAGTAGTTGTCATAGGGGAGAGAGAGCATGAATTGTCCTCTTCCGCCAAGCCCCCAATGCCAAAGAGTTTGGTTGTGTTGTACTTTATCGCCCGTATCGAAGGTGATGATGAAATGGACAAGACTCACATAGTTGTTCGATATATTTCCTATTGACTCAACTATGCTGTCGACTGTCCCAGCTACAGGGTTCAGTGGATGGGTACACGGTGAACTCTTCTTTGCACCTAGATCCTTTTTTGTGGCGAAGCAGTTGTGTTGTGTTGTGAAGGCGCATTTTTTTCCATTCCATACCACACACAAATCGAGGTGACAAGAATGAATATTAATAGACCCATCACTATGAATGATATCCGTCTTCTGTTCGCCATCGTGAATTCGGTTAATAGCCTTGTAAACCTGTATTGGAAGACATAATGTGTCTATTTTTAGTCTATTTTTATTTTTTCACGTTAATGATACCTCATATTCCAGTGACCAAATTAAAATTAAAACATCTGACTCATACCGTTATCGTATTACACTGTGAAAAGGTTGGGCAATATTTTCCAACACTTTGCCCAACGCTGTGCCAATAGTCAATGGATGAACCCGTGTTTTAATAAAATTTAAAGAGTAGACAACGATTTAAAATGGTTTATTGACAGGCTGACAAAATGTAGGTCAAGAGGTTGTTTACATTTTTGAGGGAAATTCACGCGCTAGGAAATGTAATACTTTGTATTACATTGGAAGGAAATGTACAAGCGTATGTACGCTTATCAAGCAAGCGCGGAAAATACCGCCAGCAAATTAAAAATAGCACGAAGGGGCTTTCATTCTAGTTATGGCTTTCATTTTGAATGGACAAGAAGAAAAATTTACGGAGTCTAAAACATTATTAGAGGATTTGGATTAATACTAACGTTAGCACTGCACTGGAATAATTAGTTGGATATAGGGTCTATAACGCTGAATTATTTATTTTTTTCGTGAGCGACCAGCGGGATTATATTCGGGTTTTGGGCTGGCCTTTGTCGTTGGGCCCGATTAGAAAGGAGAGTCCATTTCATTATCAACTTGAACTGTTAGTGTTAGTGGCCTTGTTCGCATCTCTACTGGCAGGAGTACGTTGGCGATCATGCCAAAAGCGAAGAAGAAATCCGTGGCCGGGAGGAAGAGGGGTGGCGAGACGGCGCCCAGGGCAACGTTACCTCCAAGTCAGGCGGAGAATCCGAGAGCGGATGCAGCGTTACCCCCAAGTCAGGCGAGGAAAAGTCCGAGGGCAAGGGCGAAGGCAACGTCAACGCCTGTCGGAGTGGGCCCCAGCGGCGCCGACGATCAGGGCGGTGAGTTCAACCCTAACATCATTTGTAGATCTAGAGCTAGTGGCAATGATGTACCTGATATCAGTACTGGTAGGCGCGCGGCCATATTATGGCCGGAGATTATCGCACGAGAGTCGGTGCCCTCTGTGAGGGAGCAATCGGAGATTTCATTGCAGGCTCAATCGGTTGGGCAGGCTTCATGCGAGGGTAATATGGCGGAGCGGACTGCGCCGCCAGTACCCCCTTCCGTGGTGGGGTCACCGGTGCCGTTTATGAGCGCGGCTGATCCGTTGGGTTCCGAAGTGGCAATGTCGCTCAAGGAGAGAATTTGGAGGAGTGAATTTATTGATTTAGCCTTGCTTCTCAAACAGAATGCTTATGCACGGAGTGATAGTGGGGCATCCCAAGAGCTAGGTGAAGCCGTATTTATAGTCTGCGGCAGTCTGAATCTGGGCTCTGGTTGCAATTCCAACCTCGGGCAAAGAATGAAGGCATATTTTCGGTGGAGCATTGGACATCCGTGTTCCTGGTGTTTGTGTCTATTTATTTGGAGAAGCACATCGAGCGAAGCAGAGAGCTCATCAAATATATGGATTTGATTAGACACGCTTCTAGAGCATTTGGGGGCCTTGGGTGGAGAGAGTATGACATACAGTTTAGGCTAAAGCAAGCGCGACTGCCCGGGCGATCTTGGGCAAGCGTGGATGCTGAATTGTGGTTGATGGTGGTTGCGTCCCATGGGCCTCGCTCCTCCGCCTTTCGTCAGCAGTACGATTAGTCGAGGGATGCAAGCGCCGCACATCAAGTAGCCTCTTGTCGATGCCCTCGCGCTGTTGGAGTCTCTAAATTCTGACGAGCGAAGCGAGTCAGAGAAACCGAGGCGCTTGCCTCTTGTCGATGCCCTCGCGCTGTTGGAGTCTCTAAATTCTGACGAGCGAAGCGAGTCAGAGAAACCGAGGCGCTTGCGCGGAGGGCCTCTTGACAAGTGATCTGAATTATATATTCATGAGACCCGATTTCCTACTGAATTATGCATGTCTAGACCGCAGCGATTGTGTGTGTGTACGTGTGTGTTCGGGATTGCCCAACTAGGCTAGTCTGCAAGCACAGGCCCTAATTTGACACTTTATCAAAAAATCATTGTGCCTTGAGAGAAGCCTAGCCCAGCTATCTACTGGTACCTACTGGTTGTACCAATATAGGTCAGGAGCAGCTATAGTACGTGGCATATGGTAGTCTTATAGTGCACACTCTCTTGTACGACTGACCAGGGTTTGTGCTTGCAGACTACAACTAGGCGGCCAGTCTCGCTCTCACGGAGGGAATTCGCACGGAGCGGTAGATATTACGTCATAGTAGCTCTCTCTGATTGGATGACTTTCACCGAACTCTGCTGGGTCGGAATATTCGCCAAACAAAGTAAAACATAAGAAATTCAGATCACTTGTCAAGAGGCCCTCCGCGCAAGCGCCTCGGTCTCTCTGACTCGCTTCGCTCGTCAGAATTTAGAGACTCCAACAGCGCGAGGGCATCGACAAGAGGCTACACATCAAGGAGAGACGCTAGGCATCCTATCACATTACCCGTTTTGAACCAAATGTTGACCGATTTGGAACATGTTTGTGTTAGCACTTATGAAGTGTTATTATACTCTGCCGCATTTGCATCATCCGATCTTACAGGCGGAGAGGCTGGTATATATATACATCTATATTCTATAACTTTAGGCATCACTCGATTTTATAGGCGGGGGGCTGATATAATGACTTAATGTATATAAGTTTAGCCTAGGCATCACTCGATTTCATAGGCGGGGGGGCCTAGCATAACTTTAGGCATCACTCGATTTTATAGGCGGGGGGCTGATATAATGACTTAATGTATATACGTTTAGCCTAGGCATCACTCGATTTCATAGGCGGGGGGCCTAGCATTGCATTTGTAAGCATTTTTTATGATTCAATATATCTGTGTTATTTTGTTATGACACCCAGAAAATCAAAATGTGCAAAATAAGCGTCCATCTCAAAATGTTAATAAAGCCACGACATAAACGCAAATTTGGTTGTTTGTTATTTTTGTTAGCCGTGAATAATTGACTTACTAATGCATTTCTCTCTTTGTTACACGTTCCTACCACCATGTATATCTTATCTCTTTGATACAGATTTAAAGTTTTCACGCACCTATTCTGTTATTAACTTATTCATGTATATTTGGAAAATGTTAACGTTTTTCTCTGTAAAGGAAACTTTGAAATTCACTCTGAAATTTCCTATATATATATATATATATATATATAATATATATACATATATATAAAATAACCTCCTTTGTTACTACATCCAATCGCTTTTCCTTCGTAATCTTAATTTCATCATCGTTTTTCTTCTACATGTCTTCCCAGTTCCATCTGTTCCATTCTTCTCATGCTACCCTCTCTCTTTCTCTCTCTCTCTCTCTCTCTCCTCTGCTGCATTTCTTCCTTCTTCTTTGTTTGTGATTTCACCCCCTCTCTCTCTCTCTCTATCTGTCTCTGTCTCTCTCTGTCTCTCTCTCTCTCTCAATATCTATATTTCCCTTATACTCTCTCTCTCTCTCTCACCCTCTCTTCATTTTGTTCTCTCTCTGACACTTTCTCTTTCTGTCAGTATTGTTTAATTATGTTTCTATAATAAAACCTCATAATTGTGTGTGACTGTGTTGAATTACATTATCGAGTAGCATTTTGAAAATGCATATAATTTGCAATATATTACGGTTCGAAACCAAACATGCAAGCTTAAAGATGAAGTTGAGTTCTGGTCATGCGATTGCATTATGAAAGAAACGGTGTGGAACCGACCAGAAAAGGTTGATCATCTAGCATATAAGAATTTGTGTGTATTGCAAGGTTCTGGAATCATCAAAATGATAAGAAATGTGGCCAAGTCTTGGTAAAGTTACATACACTTGCACAGAAAGATGTATATGGGACTACACAAACACGTGGCGTAAAAAGCCGGCCCCCGATTTTTACGATGTTACATGCATATTTAGAATATGAAGGCATTTGAAGAGCCATGCTTTTCAGGGAACATGTCTTAACCGATGTTCTTCCACACTTGCATAACAAGAATGAGTAATGCTCACAAATTATTTTTCACCTCTTCCCAGAACTCAACCTTCTCTTGTTATTCCCCAAGTCGTAGTATTGTAGTTTCCAAACGAATCTTCAGTATTTACTTGTCATAAACTAAATTAATCAGCCTCAACTTCTATTTGAAATGTGAATATTCCTTACTTAATAATAATTTAAAAATAATAATGAGGAATTTATACTATTTGAAACTTCAAATGATGCCTTTGAAATGTGGTGCTACAGGAGGCTGTTGCAGGTGTCATGGAAAGATAAAAAGACAAATGTGTGGGTCCTGGAAAAGATTGGAACAGACTTGACCATCAGAAGGGGAATCATGGAGAGAAAACTAAACTATTTTGGGCACATTGTTAGGAGATCTAAAGGTGTTGAGAAGCAAATACTGCAAGGAGCAGTCGAAGGAAAACAGGGTAGAGGCCGTCCACCAATATCTTGGACTGATGATATCAAGAAAGTGTCTGGACAAGGAATGAAAGGTGCAACACTAATGGCCGGTGAAAGAGTTGCATGGCGTGCTCTCGTGAAGACCACAGCAGCGCTTTACAGCGCCACCTGAAGTTAATGATGATGATGGAACTTCAATTTGTTTGCAAGTATGGAATATGTAATAAGTTGTAATCTATTTAATCATGTCTTATTTGTACTTGTCTATATCTAAGTTTTGTTGATTTAAAAACAAATCTGAGCTTGTAAAACTTGCAATGTAATTTAGCTCTCGGGCAACCCTTTTGCAGTTTAAAAAAAGAACTTTCTACTACTACTACTACTACTACTACTACTACTACTAATACTTCTACTACTACTTGGTAACACAGCCTTCACAACTGCTGCTCCCAAACTGTGGAATAACATACAGATATGTCTTCGTAACCAACATCTGTCAATGTCATCACAAAATATTTCAAAACTCATCTCTCCTGTTAACAATATAACTGTAAAGCGCATTCTAAAATTTATATGGAAAATGCGTTATATAAATACAATATTATTATTATTATTATCATGAAATATGATATATTGAAGTTCAGTGAAAGAAGATATTTTAAGAAGCTTATAGGGGGAGATGGAGAAGGGGGGAACGGAGGGAGAATGGGTACGAGATAGAGAGGGAAAGAGAGAGAGTGAGAGAGAGAAAAAGAGAAATTGAGAGACTGGAGGGAGATGCAGAGAGACAGGGACAGAGAGAGAGAGAGAGAGAGAAAGAGTGAGATTAAAAATAAGTGATATACTTTGATGCTGCATCAAATAATAATTTTTTTTGTTACGATCTTTTCGGGCACATGGTGAACCAAGGCTAAACAATCTTGATTGAAGCTTGATTATATACCGATATCCATTGATTTTACTACGTAGAGTAACATAATGATATCTCGAATTATATATTTCTTATTATGTTACACCCAAACATACCCCCCCCCCCCCCTCCAGGCACCAACAATTCTCCAACAACAAATATTTCCGGTCATATGATGAATCCGTTTCGAATTTGTTTAAAACATATGACATGACACACGCAGGCATATAAAAATCATAACAATTTACCATTATGACGTCAGATTGAAGAGTAACAGCGATGCTCATGTACTTTCCTTTATCCACAACTAGAGACCGTCAGAGCTAGGCTTTGCTCAAGGCTTTATAAATTATGGTAAAGTGTCTAATAAGAGTCTGTACCTGCAGACTGGGATTCTTTCTTTATAACGCACACCATGCAGGCTCTACCAAAGCTTTGTTTATTTAAAAGAGGGTGACCATTCGTCATTGTTGCGGATCTATAGTGTTTTTCCCTATTTTTTGTTAAAGGAGGTGATAGAAGAGTTTGAATTTCATATTTTGTCGACGGAACCACTGCTAGGACCATCAAAGAAAAGTAATTTGTACTTAAATGTTTCCCGTTTAATTTAATCATGGTTACTTCATCATGAATAACTAGGTTTAAAATAAATAAAAATTGTATACTTAACTTTTTGAGACATGACGTACGGCAGATATGAATTACAGTAATTGGAAAGTTACAGGAATTGACACGTCATGCAGGTTAGTTACATTGTTCATGTATATGAATATAGAGTAAATGATTTTACATACATATACATCAAGAAATAATTAATGTGATATGGGGGGAAAAAGCGAGAAAGAATGAAAATGATCGACTGCATAGTGCATGACAACAAGTGAGAAATCGATAAAGATTTTAAGAAAACACAAAGAGGAGAGTTGGCGGAACAAATACAAGAGCAAAGAATGACAAAGGAACAAGAATAAGATATGGTATTAAGAGAGTATTTGAAGGCACGGCAAATAGAGGAAAAACGAAAAATCGCTCTAAATCCAGAGTTATCCTACCTTATACTGTACACTACGTGTAGGCTGATATCAAAGAAAGAAGATCAGTGTGTGTTATCAGTAGACTCGTCCCAAGATCAATGATCAATAGTTCTCAGTTGTTTTGAATTATATTGTATTATATAGTGCCTTCGAGGCCTTAGTGTTGTTCCTTTGTGTGAAGATTCTTAAATGTCATCAGTATGTATCACGTCATTTTTTTTTTAATGGCATTTCTCAAAAACACTACCAAGGTTAAAAAAAAATTAAGGCTTGATCATATGCCGGTTTTTATTGATTTTACTTTAGGTAGAGCCCCGATATTTTTGTTGTATACTCACTTCGTTTATGTCATGTGCAATCTGTGTGTCAACTGTCAGGAAAATTCCCCACCGACAAATATTTCCGGTCATATGATGAATCTTTTTCAGTGTTAACATGGCACATGACACACGCAGGCACATGGAAATCAAATTAATCCTATAATACCAGCTGAATAGCAAATAAATGATAAAAGAAACTGTTTTCTTTTATAAAAGGAAAGTTGATATTCGGGCATGAAATAACGGATCCGAAAATCTGTGCCCACGCACCTATGACAGCTACCATAATCTTGTCAAAATAGTGTCACGCAGTTTGGTTAAGATAATTGATGTACTATTATGTACATTTCATTTTTGTATTTCATCATTTTCATTCTCCATAAAAACATCAAAAAATACAAACATGGTATACAAATAAAGATCGATAACAAGAAAAATACAAAGGGAAGGAGCTAACAAAATTTTATGGGAATGTGGGGTTAACAAAAAGAGCAATTAGCGTCAACGTCA